GGGAGAATTGAATGAGTAAATTAGCTATTCCAAATTAATTTTTGTGTATGTGTTAAGAAGTCTATACACATTTGTTGTTTTACCTACATGTAACATTGAAGAGAATTTAGTATTGTGACTGCATTTTCTAATGTATAATTAAGGATGTTCCCCCAACTAAGAAATGCTTTAAGAAAGGGGAGATCTTTGAGAAGTTTAATAGTGTCTGTCCCCTGTAGGCCACTGTGACCATGAGAGACTTTGCCATGGACTGTGTTCGCTAGTGTCAAATGGAATGTGAGTTTCTGAAATAGCGAAGGCCAGGCAGGTGGTAGCACTAAACAACTGAAGCAAGGTGGACATAATTACCGTATGTGCAGCAAAGTCAGAGTGGCAGTCAGAATACCTTGACTCACAGGACAGTGCAATAGATTCAATGGCTAATAAATTGTGCTATTGCAAGGGGCCAGAAGGATGGATAATTCAGGTCTCCCTTCTCTCCCTCTCTCTCTGTCTTCCTCCCTTCCTTGTTTTGCAGTGGAAAATTGTAGTTTCTCATTCACTTTAAAAAATGTGAGTTAATTCAAAGACTGAGGGTCCATTAATTGAACCGAATTACAATTTGCCAGGAAAATTAGAATGGGTTATAGGTTATGGATGAAGTTGGCAATGAATCTCAGTTATTGCCTTGGGACCACAATAATGCGAACTGTAGCATGTTCCCTCTTACACTAAGATTTTACAGACGGAGTTGTCAGCTATCATTTGGAAGGGACCCTGTGACAGTCTGCTCTGCTCGGGAACTGCGTGGTCCAGTATAGCAGGCAGTTTTACACGTGGCTGTTGTACCCTTGAAATATGGCTGATTCGACTTGAGATGTGCCATCAGGAAGCTTTGAAGTCTTAGTATGAGTAGAGGAAGGTAAAGTATCTCATTCATATTTGTATACTAATTACATTATGAAATGGTAATATTTTGGTTATTTTAGGTTTTCATAGATTATTTTAACTGGTGTTGCCTCTTTCTTTTTACCTTTTTTTAATACTGTTGTTTTTTTTTATTGCAGTATAGACAGTTTACAATGTTGAGTCAATTTCTGGTGTACAGCATAATGCTTCAGTCATACATGAACATACATATATTTGTCTTCATATTCTTTTTCACCATAAGTTACTACAAGATATTGAATATAGTTCCCTGTGCTATACAGTATGAACTTGTTGTTTATCTATTTTATATATAGAAGTTAGTATCTGCAAATCTCTAACCCCCAATTTCTTTTTACTTTTTTGAATGTGGTTACTAGAAAACTTCCAATTACATTTGTGGCTTGCAGTGTATTTCATCTGGACTGTAACAAAGGGGAAGGATGGAGAGAATGGGTGTGTCAAAACTCTGCCCTATATTAGGTGAACATGCCATTTACTATCCAAACCTGGATATTCGGAGTGTGGAAGCGGGCACTGTAGATAATGATGCCAGGACTGGGGGCACGAGCTGGGGCTGTCCTAGGCCACCGAATCTGTGAGGTCACCCTGTCAATGAGTAAGGTGAGTGGGACAGCCACAGAGAAAGGGCAGGTGCAGATTTAAAAGAAGGGCTTATTTTAGGGGACTTTTTTTCCCTGGCATCAAGCAAAAAACTGAAGTTTTGTTCTGTCTGGTTCATGCTCTTTCTACTCTTGGAAAAACCTGCAGCTTCCTATTTCTAAGGTGAGAACTTGACTAAAAATCCAAGTTCTAAGAACCTGGATGACGGAAACTATCTTGAAGTATTTAGGTATGTTAAACCTAAGTACATCAGAAACGCATTTCCTTTAAAACACACACAAGTTTAACACTTCATAGGCGAAGTACTTGGCTGCCCTGGCTTTTCCAGATCCCACGTGACTTTATACACATGCACTCAGGCACACTTTAGAGGGCGTTCTTCGAGCAGAAAAAACACCCAGCCTTCTTAGCATGGGCAGCTAGGCCACCTCTCCTGATGTCCACCCGGGCCCCCCATTTAGGGATAGGTTCCCAAAGATCCCAAAGAAGTAAGCACTTCCTCTAATCTGAAATTTGGGGGAAAAGGCTCAAAAGAAGGTAAAAGAACCTGAAGCATGAGGGGAAGTGTGACCATTTGTCACATCTCCCTTCAAGAGAGCCCCAGAAGATGGGGGCAGTGATCTGGGGAGACATGGGATGTTCTTGGCAGCCCACCTCTGCCTTTCTGTAGGGCAGTGAGGAGACTCAAGAAGGGAAATGCCCAAAACTCTCTCCCATCTCAGCCTCCTTTCCCTGGCCCTGAATTGTGACTGAAGCATTATGCTGTACATCAGAAGTTGACACAGCATTGTAAACTGACTATACGTCAGTGAAAAAAAAGTACATATATACAAATTTTTTTAAAAAGGAATTGATGTTTTAAGTCAAGACCCCCAGCAACACTGTAAGTTCTCGTACCTGCATGACATAAGATACTTAGCAATTACCACCACACTTTTCCTCTTTGATTTTAAACTTGATGATTCCTTTGACTGAAATATCCAATTCCTCCCTTTTACCACCTGGCTACCCTTACTGCCTTTGGAAATTCAGCACAGGTATTTCTCTCCCTTAGAAAGCCTTTCCTGATCCTCTCCAAAGTGATGTATTCTTCCCCCTGTGAGGCCTCATAAAACCTTTATCACAGCACATTGTCTCAGTGGGCTGTGGTCACTGAAGTTTGGTCCATCTTCTCACTCCATGAAGTTCCTTCAGGGGAGGAAGGACCCTTGTCCCCCTTATCTCAACATCGCCTGTGTCTGCCATGTGCTAGCTGCTCACTGACCTTTCATATTTACATAGTCCTTTTTATCACTAGAAAATCACTTTGCCACACAAGAAGTGTATGACCTGATGGAAACCTGATGAGGTTGGCAGGTGACTATTACAGCACTGTTTCAGTCATGGAGACAGTGAAACTCTGAAAGGCTAAGTGACTTTCCCAACATTACCCAGCTTGGGATTGCTGGAGCCAACAGCAGAGCCCAGCATTTCTTCCAAAGACCAGGGATTTTGATGTTGTTTTTTCTTCCACTGAACTCACCTCTGATGTTGAATTCAATACCGACATATTGGGTCACCGACAAGCACGTTTTGAATTATAGATCTGATCTTGGTTGAAAAAAGTGTTTTCACTCCAGAGAAGCCATCCAGGAAGAAGCATGTGAAAAACAAGATTTTTAGCAAAAAATTCTCAAAGTTTTAAGGCAGGAATTTGTGAGTGGGATACATGAGGTCCTTGAATCCCCTAAGGTTTCTGACAAAACCTTGTATATATGAGCAATTTTCTGGGAGGAGAATAGGAAGCTTTCTCACATCCTCAAAGGGTGAGCGTACCTAAGGCCCCGTTTGCCCCTGTGCCGAGGGACCATTTAGCACTTCCTTGGGGATCTGTAACCTTGTGGACCAATTTCCTCCTTCAGGCCCCCTCCCAGGGCCAGTGGATGTCAAGGCTTGGCGGGAGGGGGTCTGTGTGGCCTGCTGGCATCCTGTATATTAACACTTCTGCATTGCAGGCCAGCTAATCCGTCTCTTAAGCTGCTTGACTGAGCTCCTTTGCCAGATCTGATAGAAGGATTTAACCTTTCCCTTTTCCCTCTTGGCACACACTCAATGGAATCCAAATAAAGAATTAAAGAGACTTGAAAGGGACTTTCCATTACCAAACAATTCAGTTTAAATTTCCGACCTTTCCTCTACCTTTTTTTTCTTCCATCCGCTCTTTTCTTCTTCTTCAACATTTGGGATTCAAGGCTGGCATAAAAGCCCCTGGGGACATGTGGAGAGCCAGAGACCAGGAACGTGAGTGGAATTTTCCAAATTAAGGCGGCTTATTGGCCTTAGTTGCTGAGTGAACTGGGGAGGCCTGGCTTTCGGGTTACGCCTGGGAGGAGGACGCTTTGACATCTGGAAGAGAGTTTTGGCCTTCATGGCTAGAGCAACTCATGCTCCAGCTTCATGGAGCTCTGCATTTTTTACATCTACCCTGCACTTTCCTCGTTCTGAGTCCTTACTCCCATTGCTCATAGAACGTAAATTCAACACGTCTTAACTGAACAGCTATGATGTCAGAAATTGTCCTGGCTTTCAGGGTCATGACACTAGCTAGAACTTAATGGGAGCTCATACGTGCAAAGTATTATGCTGGTCCAATAATACTACACCCAGTTTGGTTCCCCATTTGACTGATGTGAATACTGAGGCACAGAGAGGTAAATACGTCTCCAGGTTCACATAGACAGGATATAGAAGAACCAGAATACAAAGCCATGAAATGGGACTCAAGAGCCAGAAATCAGAGTGGAAAGAGACATTAGCATAGGGCCTGGAACATGCAAAAGAATCGACAAATTCCAACTATAATGATGAGAAGAGGAACGAGTCAGAATAAGAAGACAAATGTATGCCTTAAACTTTAGTTTGAAAAATAGCATTTGTTTTTTTTATTACCCTGCTAAGAAAATGGTAATCCATGTTTATGATAATGCCTTTGGAATTACTCTTACAAAAAGTACCAAATACAGAAGATTTTACAAGATCGCTCTTTCAAATGTGCTAGAAAAAGTTAAGTCACACGCTATGCAAGGTGATCGAGGGTTTAGATGGAAATATTTAATATTCTTTATAATAACAATAGCTAACACGTACTGAGTGCTTTCCAAGTGTCAGTTACTATTCTAAGCTCTTATGTTAGCTATTGTTACTCTCCCAATAGCCCTATGAGATGATTACTATTACTATTATTATTCTCCTCTGAGAACAAGGTTAGGTAGATGAGAGTGCAGCAGCTTACCTGGGATCATGCACACCAGTGAGCGGTGGAGCCCGATTTCAAATTCACGTCCTCTGGTGCGGATCCGGTCCTATTGACCACTCGGCCACATTTACATGCATGGGTCCAAGAGTCCCTCCTTTTTTAGTTATTCTTCTCCATACCTCTTCAGCTGGTTAGTGTAGCTGGGTGTGTAAACCCCTGTACAACATCTGGAAATAACGGAATGCTTTTGCTAAGGTACTACAACAGAAGTTAGAAGCCATTTATAGCTAAGACTGAGGATGAGAGCTGGGAGATGCATACAGCACAAGGGAAAGTGATTGAGAGTTATTCTTGCTGAGTGGAAATCCATTTTTTCCTAACTGCCCCCCCTAACAGGAGGTGCTCTGTCCACAGTAGTCAAATAAAGGGATGAATGCCCAGTGTAGCTGGAATGGAGAACAGAATATGAAATATGAAATAGGTGATGTGGGATTTTTGTTGTGGTTTTTCAGTCCCATTAGCCTTCTAAGAAAATATATTTGGAGAGCAAACTTCAGAGAAAGGGTCCATGATAAAGTGATGCAATTATAGACAAAAGTCCCAACACGAGTGACTCGCCAGTCTGAAGATCACCGGACAGGAAATGGTGAGGTGCCTCTCTGTTAGAGCGTCGGTGTTGAGGACTGGGGTTGGAGCATATCACTATACATCCTGGGTGGTGCTCACAGCCCCAGGCAAAACCCTTCAGAACAAGAAGCCACCATTCCTCTTTTGGAGGTAATTCTCACCAAATCTTGCTCCCCTTGAAGTTGCAGCTCCATCCTTATCACAGAAACCAGTAAATTCCTTTGTGGTCAGAGGACATGTCAGGAGCAGATCAACAAAGCTGAGCCAAAGTTTGAGTCCTACTTCTGCTTTCCAGGTGTGTAACATTTGTTGAGTCACTAAACTTCTTTACACTTCTCTGTGCTTATTTTTCCTGGCTTATCATAGTTACTCAACAACTTATTTGTTGAAAGATAGGATGAGTTAATTTTTAAAAAGTTCTCTTCTTCTTTCAGGGTTGAGGTAATGAAAATGTGCAAGAATGGGTGTGAAAAGTCTGTGTGAATGAACCCCTCATTCAGTGTTGAAGCCAAGGAGAACTCTGTGCATAGCAAGACAGGGACTTCCTTTTGGCGTGTCATTTGGTGCTTCTGTCAGTGTGTTCACCAACGAGTCATCAGCTTCTCAGAGGTTGCCTGGGGTCTGAGGGAGAAGCCTCCCAAACACCAACAGCCTTACAGAAGTCTTCATTCTGAACGTATTCTATTTTCACTCATTGAACAATGGCTAAATAAATCCAGCCTCTTTCTTTAATAACCTACTAAGCAGGTTATAAAATACATGTTTATGAATTTGTCTCAGGCTGAATTCCAACCGGCTCTTAGAGAGACTCTTAAAAGTGTGTGCCTACAGTATCATGGCTGTTAAACTGAATGTTTGCTACTGTTATTCAATCTGCCCAAAATTGACACTTAATTTAATAATGTGAGGAAAACCTAAGAAGAAACAGCATGGTTTATTATGTTCAGTCTGTTCCCAGCCACCTACTCCACAGAGTCCCTCTTTGTTTGGAGGCCCTTAATATTTTAGATAAAGTTGAATCTTAGGCACTCCCAGCCTCTCTGAGTCCCTGTTACAAGACAGATGAGTGGGGCCTCTAGTGGAATTCTGTAATTCCAGGCCTTACCCAGGAGAAGTTAGCCATGAAAACTCTAAGAAGACCTTTTAAGTATAGAGAAGGCATGGATCCAATAACTCAGGAAGCCATTTGTAGAGATATATTATATATAAGTAAAAATATTTATAAACATCTGTTTATTGATTGGTATATGTAGAAAATACAGCTAATATTTTGAAGGCTTAATACATGCAAGTCTCTGTGCCATGCTTTACAAGCAAACTTTAGGTGTCTTGGGCTGAATATGAAATTAACACAGTTAACAGCTCAAAACAACACGTGTTTATTACCAGTTAGTTTCTGTGGGTCAGGGGTCTGAGCTGGGTGCTCTGTTTAGGGACTTACAAGTCTACAACCAAGGTGCCAGTAAGGCTGCATTCTGAACTGGAGGCTCAACTACGGAATAATCTGCCTTCAAGCTCAGTGGGGTTATTTCCCTGCAGCTTTATGACTGAAGACCCTGACTTCCTACTGATGGTCAGCTGGAGGCTGTGCTCAGCTCCTGGAAGCTGCCCATGGTTTCCTGACACGTGGCCCCCTCCAGAGGCCGTTTACAACTTGGCTATTTGTTTCCATGAGGCCCACAGGGAAATCTCTTCCTCTCTTCTGCTAATACCAAATCTTGTATAATGGAACTTAATCATGGGTGTGACAGCCTAACATCTTTGACATATTTTATTGGTTAGAAGCAAGCCATGCAACGCATTCACATTCAGGGGAGGAGATCGCACAGGTAACACCAGGGGACAGAGATCATGGGTGCCATGGTGGGATTATGCCTACTGAAATACATAGCCAAATTTAATTCTCACAATAGCCCTACAAGTCAGATCCCATTACTTTTTTTTTTTTAGCACCTAGAGACAAGGAAGCAGGGGCAATTTACAGAACCAAGATAATATGCACAAATGAAGATGTCAAAACAAGTATTTGAACCTTTATAGTTGGCTGGAAAAACTAGAATTTTAACCACCTGCATTCAAACCGTATCTATTTTTCTGCTTTAAATAACAGAGTGAAGACCTGTTATTTGTTGTATGCAGGACTCCGTTCCAATACATACATTTTCTCTTTTCATCTTGACATTAAGCCCAGCGGGGAGCCGTTATAATCTTTGTTATACAGAAGGGAAAGTTTATGCTTAGAAAGTTGTTTCTCTGTGACTTTGGGCAAATTACTTACCTCTCTGAGCTTCACCCTCCTCACTGTAAAAGGGAGAACATAGAATAGTTGTGAGGATTAAATGAGGCAACACAGGTAGAATGTTTAGCTGAGTGTCTGACTCAGACGATTAACTCAACAAATGCTAGTTAGTATTGTTTTCAAGACTGATGAATTTCCCCTAAGTCTCTATCTTCAAAGATGTAAAATTCGACAGTCTGAGAGTAGAACAGGTTATTTTTAAGGACCTGTGCTTCCTCTGCCTCTGGTTAGCTCTGTGGATTTTGATATCCCAGAAACTTGTGTACCAGCTATGCTCCCGGTGACTCTTATTCCAGGCCTGCTCTTCTCATCCTTGTCCCACAAAATCCTCCCTGAAGCCGATCAAAACCTGAGTGGGTTTCATGGGCTCTGTATGTCACGAGTGCACCTCTGGGGCTTGGGACTCTGCCTCCAATTTCACCCTCCAACCCTCCCCACTCCCCTTTCCCTTTTTGCCTTCCCTACTGGGGCCCAGTGACTGGACTATAGGTCTTCATCCTCCAGCAGGACATAATGAGTGTAGGTTAGATAGAGAACTCTATCCCTCAGTCAGAGGTGGTCTAATGGATGGACAGTCTGTTTCCAGTCCTTTACTAGCTCTGTGGACGTAGAGAGTAACAGGAACTAGCCTCTGTCCTCCAGGTTTACAATGGGCGAAACTAGAAGCCCTTTTTATGCATGGAAAATTCTCCAAGGTTTCCTGAGATTAGCAAAAAGATGGAGATCAGGGACTGGTGACCACAAAGATTTCTAGAAAAGGCATCAGTTTTGGCACTAGGCCAAACTAGACTCCAATCCCAGCTCTGCCTCTTGCTAGCTGTGTGATCCTGGTCAAGAAATTACTTAATCTCTGGGCCCTGGTTTCCTCACCCGTAAGAGAGATATAATAGTAACTTCTTCTTCGTATATTGTTGTGATCTGCAGTTGATGAAATCATACAGTAAGAGTGCACCATGAACTGGAAAACGCTCTGCAAATGGGAATTAAGATACAGGACTGAAATAAATTTCAGAAAAACAAACAATTGGGAAAATCTTGACCTTGGAAAAATTCATGGCACTGACATTTTATAAAGCAATTATCACCTCATTTTCTTTTCTTTTCCAAAGCAAATCTTTTAAAAATTATGATCACACCATGTTCATATGATTTCCAAGCATGGAAAAACTTGCTCTGGAACTACAGAGTATCTTATTAGTATTATTTCTTAGGTTAGGAGAATACTGTTGCTTGAGGGGAAACACTGGTCTTATCTGGACACTTAACCTAGACTTCCCATTTATAGATTCAGCTGCTGTTATTCATATCTGAGTCTGTGTTAGCAGAGTCATTGGGGTTCCAAGAAAACAGTAAACATTTTAAGCACCTCCTATTTAAAGAGTTACAAGACTCCATGATAGAGTGTTCACTCTCAGAAGGACCCTTGTGAGTAGTTAAAATAAGGGAAAATAGTAATATAATTCATGGGACAAGTCCATTGTGGCAAACCCTTACTTGATTTTGGAGGGAAAATTAAATTTGTTTTGCCTAGCATGTCATTTTGTCAACAAATTAAGTTTGGGTAAATTCCACACTATCTTCTAAGGACCAATGGCAGATGGTCCAAATGCATACTTTGTTTTGTTTTGCTTCAGTCTTGTAAAAAATAATTCTGATCAGATTCTATAGTTGGTTCTGGTTTCACAAAGTTTTCCATCACATACTTTCATTGTTCATTTTATCAACAGAACATAATTTTTCATCCAGCTTTGACACAGCCACCCCCCCAAAATCATTTTATCCAAATTGATTTCTCCTCATTTCCCCCACCCTCTACATTCTTATGTAAAAAATAGAATAATTCATATTCAAGCAGAGAAAATGAAGATTCATAATGCATTTTGCTTACTCAGCTACTCTTCTGCAGAATCTCAGTGTTATTAAGGAATTTTTATGTCTCCCCTATCCAAGATGCAAGCATCTAAGATTTTTGGAAGCAAGATTTCTGTATTTACCTTAATTTAAACGATGACCTCTCAACATCTCAACACCAAATCCATTCCTCTATGCTCTTCCTTTTAGTACTGGGGCTGGGAACCTGCAACCTATGTTTCTGCTTTGCTAGCTGTTAGGATCCACTATTAAAGGGTGTTGGAACCAGACTTGAAGGCAGAACAGGGCAGAAGCAAGCCCTATGTACTTGCTTGTCATTCCTTTCCATGTGGCCCCAGAAATGGATCTCAACTGCCCCACCAGCAACAGGCACTGTCCCCAGCCCTGACAATGACAGCTGCTACCTGTTTGCTTTTTCACCTCTAGCACGCATTTAAATATTTTTTTTTCTATTGAAATACCTAGTATGGCATCTGTTTTCCTAATTGGACCCTGATTGATACTCATTTCTTCCATTGTCCTTTTCAAGGACTGTAATGAATGACACAATCTTCAATTTGAAATAATCTTAAAGGTTGTCAAGTCCAAATTCTGATGCAGTAGAGAAGGGATATATGAGAACTAAATGTTCAGTCATGGACAACTCTCATTAGAGAGTTTCCAGGGCACTTGTGTTTTGGAGAAGTACAAGGTTGTGTGGGATTTGATGGGAGAGAAGTCTATGTTTACTCAGTGGTGTCTGCTCTTGATGTTGTCAGGCAAAAGGTGCACATCTCAGCCTGGATTGCAGATTCCTTCAGTGAACTCAGGAAAATGAATTCTTCCTCCCATTGTGACCTTGTTGCTGGATCACTTGCACATGTAATAACATCTTTCAGATTTAATTTAATAGCCAATGAGGTGAGGTTAGGCATGTTTTTCCTCGTCCCCACCACAATTCAGAGTTTTCAATGGGACAGATCCATCCATCTTTCCATGCATCTACTCATCCACTCAGTCTTACATTTTATTTACTTTATTCAGGTTCCTTTCTTTCTTTCTTTCTTTCTTTCTTTCTTTCTTTCTTTCTTTCTTTCTTTCTTTCTTTCTTTCTTTCTTTCTTTTCTTTTTCACTCTTTCTTTCTTTTTCCCCTAAGATTCTCATCTGTCCTGATCACTCTGCTAGATTGGGAGGTAAAAGACAAGAAAAAAATGGCCTTGCATTTCTAGTTGCTCTGTAGAGAAATGGGGAAGTTTTAGTTGAGTTAATTCTGGAACCTAAAAAGAGGAAATCTGATAAAATTACATAGATGGAGGGTCTTTTGGAAAGAGAACAGCTGATGGAAAGATGTGAAGTTGCTGATAGAAAAGAGAAAATGGAATGATCCAGAAACTAAGCAGTTTGTTCAAAACTGAGGAGTTCTAGGAATGAGAGTGCTAAGGGTAAAGTAAAAATATTGTGATGGGCCCTTTTGCAGGAAAGAGAGAAATGTAGCAATATCTATATATGTGCATGTATGTGTTTTTTTAAAGCGTTTTATAGACTCCATGATGGAAATGGAGATTATTAAAATTCAGTAATAGCTACTATCTACAGATACAAGAGAGTATAATCCATGTTCAATACTAAATATAAAATACATATAAAATGTAAAATTGTTACTGTCCTAGTCAAGAGTCTCTGATTGCCACTCATTTTTATTAACCACCTAAAATCATTGTGTCTTAATTAATTATTGAGTGTCCAGCATTCATTCATTCCATAAATGATCTTTCTGATCTACAATTTGTGGATCCCTCTCATAGATTTCAGAGCTATCACAGCAGACAAGCTTTTTTTTTCTGTGAGCTTACAGGCTAGTTGCAGAAACAAATGATTAAGTATGAAATTTCAGGGAAGTGATGAGTACTTCAGTGATGAGTATTATTTTAGAATAAGAATAATATGCTTTGGTGCTATGAGAAATGATGCTCATATAAGAAACAGCACTTAAAATACTAAAATAGCCTAGAAGCTGGAGCCTAGACTTCCAGGAACGTCCCCTAGAAAAGGTGATGCATCTTAGACCTAAAGATTTAGTAAGGGCTTATGAAAGAGAGGTGATGGAAGACAGTGTTTTGGGCAAAAATAGTAACACATGGGAAGTTTGGAGTTTGGTGAGAGCTTAGTGTTTTGAGGCCTTGAAAGAAGTCTATTTGACTGGACTATGGATGCTTAAAAAGGGCTGCAGGGGCATGCAGGGGATAAAACTCAAAGGGCTTTTTATGCCAAAAGAAGCATAGATTTTGTCCAATGAGTAATTGGAAGTCCTTGGATGGTGCAAGTGACAGAGACATGATCTGTTTTGAAAACTGGTTGCATTACAGACAATTAGTCTAGGGGAGCACCATGAAAGCAGGTGGACTTGTAAGGGGCTGTTGTGGTAGTGACAGAGTCTGGAGCCATTTCACTGGGAGGGAAGAAGTGGTAACATTTCAGAGATGAACATCTCTAGGAGATCTTGGGCTGGAGCTATAGATGTACATAGATAGGTATGTGGATTGCTGTACATGGATTGCTGTACATGGATTGCTGAATGGTCAGTAAAATAAGAAGAAAATGTCTATTAATTTCCAAATTCATTTATATGTTGTCATGTATGAAATGATAGGGCAGGGTAATGAACAGGAACAGTGGAGGTAGAGAATTCTCTTTAGACTTCGGATATGAAGAGATAGGGGACGGTTGAGAGAGTGTTAGCTGGAAGGGGAAAAGGAACAATGGATGCCTTTTTTGTTGTTTGTTTCAGTTGGGCAGATTTGAGGATGTTTACCTTTTGATGGCAGAAATGAATAGAAAAGGAGATCAGAAATTATATGAGAGAAGAGGAGGGATAATTAATAGATAAGACCCTGAGAAAGTTGAAAGTAACGGGATTACACTTCAGGTGGGAGAAGAGACAGCGATTCCACTGTTACAAAAAGGAAGAAGAGTTTGTGGATGAAGGGGTTTGGTTTCCAGGTTTCCGATTGTTGGTTTGTTTTTGTATTTATATTGTCTTCACGAGACAGAGGGTGAGATAATCTGCTTAGGAAAGGGAAGGAGTTGGAGGGCTAGTCATTTGAAAATTATTGAAATGAAAAGTTAGGTTGAACCTTATAAAATTTACATGGGTATGTATCAGAGAAAAGATAAAGATTCTAAAGTAAGCCTCAATAAATAAATAAATACTTCTGAGCCCAGCAAGGTTCATCTTTAAGAATTTAATAAGCTTTCCTTCTTCATTTTCTCCCTTCCTTCTTCTCCATTAGCCAATTAATATTACTAACACTCTCATCACTTTAACAAAAACTGTTAAATACATTTTTGAGTTTCAGATAGACTCTGTTCTCCTCTAGTGAACATAATTATTAACAGATACATTATGTCAGTGAATTGGGGAATCAAATCTATGCCTTTTTATTACTATTGGTTACTGCTCAGAGGAAGCTAAATCTGACCCATTTATGGAACTGGAAAGCTATTAGTAGGACTATTTTTGCACTATTGTTATGACTTTCTTTTGTTTTACAAAAAAAATAAAAAGCCAAATAGGTCAGAAACATATATGTAGCTGAGAACGTCTGATCTTATATATCCCTCTGTCCATTCATCCATCACTTAATAAGCAACCCTCTGCAAGATGGACTGTCCCTGGCACCAAGAGAGCAACGTACATCAGTCATAGTTCCTGTTTCAAAAACGTTCAGTCTAGTTGGGGAAACAGACTAAGTGAGGAAATATTACAACCGATTATAATACAAAATGCCATATGCTGACCACATGACAACTCCATCTACAGTGTCCTTTGGGCAAACAGGCTGCAATGCCTCCTGAGAAGAGTTTCAGAATACTTTCCTGGGTCTGGGGTGATAAGCTAATAGGCATTTTCTGATTCCAATTCTGTTTCATCCCCTTAGAACACATCAAGAACATGAGGAATGTGCTTGCCACAAAGGAGTCCCCTACAGGGACCCAGGATCTCAGCAGGCAGCAGCAACCATCTAGGTTGGAAGCTGGAATATTGACAAATGGATATTTCAGGTTGAGTGTAATCTGAAGAGATAATAACAATCATCATTTACAGAGAAGTAACCTCACGATGAACTTCACGATTAGGTGCTTTATTTTTTATTTTTTTAAATTGAAGTATAGTCAGTTACAATGTGTCAATTTTTTTTGTATAGCATAATGTCCAGTTATGCATATATACACATATATTCATTATGATATTCATTTTCATTAAAGATTATTAAAAGATATTGAATATAGTTTCTTGTGCTATACAGAAGAAATTTGTTTTTTAATCTATTTTTATATCTAGTGGTTAACCTTTTCAAATCTCAAACTCCCAAATTTATCCCATCCCACCCTCTTTTCCCCAGTAATCATAAGATTGTTTACTATGTTTGCAAGTCTGTTTCTGTTTTGTAGATAAGTTCATTAGTGTCCTCTTTTTTTTTCTTTTTTTTTTTAAGATTCCACATATGAGTGATATTATATGGTATTTTTCTTTCTCTTTCTGGCTTACTTCACTTAAAATGGTGATCTCCAGATCCAGCCATGTTGCTGCAAATGGCATTATTTTATTCTTTTTGATGGCTGAGTAGTATTCCATTGTTTAGATATACCACATCTTCTTTATCCATTCATCTATAGATGGACATTTAGATTGTTTCCATGTCTTGGCTATTGTATGTAGTGCTCCTATGAACATCAAGGTGCATGTATTTTTTCAAATTAGAGTTCCCTCCAGATATATGCCCAGGAGTGGGATTGCTGGATCATATGGTGAGTCTATCTTTAGTTTTCTGAGGAATCTCCATACTGTTTTCCATAATGGCTGCACCACATTAGGTGCTCTAGATGCATCTTTTTGTCTCTTCACAACAACAATGTCATGAGGAAGAAATTTTCATCATCAGCACTGTTCAGATGAAGAATCTGATCTATGTATGTATTTAACATACACTTTCCAGGGTCAAAATGATAGTGACAAGTTGTGCTGGGGTTAAAACTGAGGGGTTTTAGTACAACACCTGTTGTCTACTCCACGATGCCTCAGATGCCTTCCTATTTTCTTTTTGTATAGGTAACTACTTGGGGAAAACAAATGGAGCCAAAATGAGGATTTGATGAAAGTTAAAATCCCAGCCTCTCACTTTCAAGTTCAATATTGGTAATTTTCATGTCCTATAAAATATGTTAAAATATTTATGCTTTATTACTATCTTTCTTATTTGCAAAACTTTTTTTAAAACTCTGTTTCTTTTTCAATTTTAAAATGATTTTCAGCCACAGACTGATTCTTTATTCACTAAGGATAACAAAATTAAAGAACCTTAATATCGAATAGGAAGAGATTACTTGGAACCCCCCAAATAACCTGCAATAGAATTCTTTTAATACTTTTATTACTGCCTCTTTTATTACATTTCTTTTATTTTTCTTAGTATAAAAGTAACAGAAGCTTATTAAATAAAATTAAAAAGAACATTCATAATCTCCTCCACTTTGACATCTATTGTTAAAATCATTGTATGTATGTCAAGTCTTCCCAGATCTCTCTATATATATTGTTTTACTATAACAATAAGATTTAATGTAAATACTTTTTTTGTTATCTTCTGCAATTTATGTCTAAATAATTCCTTGATATTTAAGTTATTCCCATTGTTCACTACCACAAACTACAGAGAACCAGAAAATAGTTAACAGAATATGATTTAGAAACAGACTAGCCAAAAAGAGTAGAACTCACCTAGAACATTATGAGAAAGGCACATTTTTAAAGGCTAATAATCCTACAATGCTTCAGAATTCCAATGTGTTGGAAAAGCCAATTACCTTTTTTAAAATAAAAATAATTTTTAAAAAATCACTTCACATTTCATCAAATAACTGTCACAGGAGTGTGCGGTGGACCATCTGCAGCCACCCACTTTCATCTCAGGGACAAGGTCCACTTCAACTTTCAAACCATCCAAAAAAGATGATTTAGGGGATGTCTGTAAACCTGGGACCATCCCTGACTCCTTGGCTACCTCACTCCACATCCAACCTATCAGCAATCCTTTCTGCTCTGTATTTAACTCGTCCAGGACCTGATCACTTCTCAGTACCTTCATACTTAGTACTGTATTACAAGCCACTGTCATCTCTCTTCATTGATTTCCTTGCCTCTGGTTTCCGTCTTACAGTCTGTTCCTCACACATGGACCAGAGGGATCCTATTAAACTCTCAGTCAGATTATTTCACGCCTCTGTTCAAGTGTCCTTCATCTTGTTCGAAGCAAACACCAAAGAACTCATGTGGCGTGGCATGCCAGGCCCCCCAGGGTCTGCTCTTGACCGGTCCCCTCTCTGACTCATATCCTAGTACTCATCTCCTCACCGGCTCCACTCCTGCCACATGGGCTCCTGGATCTTCCTCTAACACGTGGAGCATTCCCTTGCTTCAGAGCCCTTGTGTTTACACGTTCCTGGGATGCCTTTTCCACGTGGCTTAGTTCCTCACAATTTGCAAGTCTTTGCTCAAATGTCACCTCCACTACATCACTTCCTCTGATAACTCCATTCACTTGCAACCTTTTTTGTCTCCCTATCCTGTTCCCCTGTTTCCTTTCACTCTTTAGCACTTATCAATCTTTTTCAATTGATATGTTCCATTGATTGGTTGATTTAGCTACTTTTTCCCAAGCAGAATGTACACTTTGTAAGGGCAAGAATTTCTGTTGTGTAGTTCACTGCTATAGCCCTGGACACAGAGCAGGCGGCGTCAACACACCTTTGTTGAGTGAATAGCCTCCCTCTCTCCCCTGCAGCTGTAAAGATCTCCTCTTCTGTTACTGCACATCTTATTACCTGTGCAGGGCCCCTGGAAGTGAGGATGGAGGGAACTGATACCAGTTACCAGCGCCCAGGGGGAAGGACGTTGGGGATCCACTCCATGTAAGGTTTTTAGCCAATCTGCTTTCCCTGGAAAAACCACTGTTTTTGCCACCAAGATCCAAACTTTGTCTCAGCAGCCTTGACCCATCTCTCCTTATGTCTTCATTTGTGTCCTTTTCCCAAAGATGAAAATTACTGTTACATGTTCTCCATGGAATTGTGTATTGCTATTAAAAATGTTTGCAAAGGATAAGTAATCCATAGAAACATGGTTATGAAGTAGAAAAAATAGGAGTAGTTAGGAATTCTTTTTCTGGGCCAGAACAATAAGATTTGCATCCTTTTTAGCTGTTTGAATTTAAGCTTGTTTTTCAACTACTTTGGGACTGCAAATGATGACTATAATAGCACATACCTAATAGGGCTGAGTGATACCATGGGAGGATGCTTGGAAAATACAGAGCACACAATACTCAATGTGCAATAATTACAAACTATTGTCATTATCACTGCAATTATGCTAAGTGAAAAATGCAGGGCACAGAGCTGCATGTATTGCCTGAAGTAGCTACAAAAAGTCCATGTTAGCACAAGGATTTTCAACCTCTGCTTTGGGGCTGGAGGCATCTCACCCTCTCATGGCTTCATATCCTGCCTCAACTAGCCAGTTTCATGCTTGGGCCTCTGCCACTTGTACACACCAGCCAGATGCCAATTCCAGTATCATTCAGCTTTCTTTCAATTGTAAGTTACAGGCACTCAAACTGACTTCCTCAAAAGGGGATTTATGGGGTCATAGAAACTAGGAAATCTCCTGAGCAAAGCTAGTGTTAAGCAAATTTAGGTCGAGGCATCAAGTGATGTTTTCAGGGTTCTCTCTCTCATTCCCCCTTCCTCCCTTCCCTCCCTCCCTTCCTCTTTCTCTGTCTCTCTCTCTAGTCCCCCAAGCTCTGTTTCTTTCGTCTTGGATTTATTGTTGGGTAGACAACTTTTCCCCACATGAAAGCAAGACCCCATGGCCAATCTGATCCCGAGACTTCATGTTTCAGAGTAAGGACACCCTTTCCAAAACTCTCACAGAAGTCCCAGGGAGGTCTTCTGTGGGCTAGCCTTGGTTCACGTGGCCACACTTGAACAAATCCCTGTGACCCAGGCAAAGATCCCATGGTCTCACGCTTCTCACTTAGAGGCTGGGGGAGCAGAGCGAGGACCACTGGACCACAATGATGTTTATTATTGTTATATAAAGGGAGGGGTTGGTTTCTCCAAAGAATTGTTGAGTAGACGTAGAGAAGAAAAAAGTTGGAAGGAAATTCTCCATAATATTAATAGTGATTAACATGTGTAACTTATGACAGATGATTTATTTTTACTTTAAAAATGTTCCAAATTATCTTTAGTCATTATCCATTATTTTTGTAATTAAAAAAAAGGGAAAATAGTCCTTGAGAGCTGAGTGGGCTGGTAAGGTCTTCAGGTGGCATGTGAATGGATACATGGACCCAAAGGCTCTCCCCAGCTGCACAAGACTCTGGACTCTTCAGCAATCCCTCCCTTACCTGGAACAAAGGCTGTTATGTGTATGTAATACATTGTTGCACCCCTGACGCTCCAGTTTACAGCGAAACCAGCTATTTGCATTCAAACTTCCAGAGGCTGATGGTCCTGTGGAAAAAAATCCTAGACCAGCAGCCAGAGACCTGGATGTCTGTTCCAGCTCTGTCCCTAACAGCTGTGTCAGGTGTCAGACACTTCTGGGCTGCAGGTCACCCATCTCCAGTCAGAAAGTTTACTTTCAGCTTGAACAATCTGTGATTATTATTTCCATTTACTGATGGAGCAACTAATTACTTCATTATAGGATTTCTCAAGACCAGTTACCTCCTGTTTGGTTCAATTAGCAAAATGCCAACATGATTGTCATTGATTCTGACGGTCAAGCTGCCAGGAGAAGAGATCCCTGTGGGAGGATATTTCAGCATCTTAAGCAGATTGTGCATTTATTATTCCAAGTAGTACATAGGAACAGAGCTCATTCTGCAGTTTTCTAATTCCTTGCTTAGGAAATGCTCACTTCCCATCATTCTCTGGTGCAGATGCCCAAGGACTCTCATGTTCCCTCTTTAGAGCAAGAGAAGAGAAACCAACAGTGGTCAAGACTGGTTGGAACAAGCCTTTGCTTCTTCTCCTGAATGGAGAACCACAGAACATCAGACAGAAGGTGGCCGTCAAAGATCATTCAATACAGCCCTCTGGGATTTAGAGGAAACTGAGTCTCTTCAGTGTATTCTGCAGAAAGAACAAATTCTGCAGAGTCAGACAGAGGGCATCTGAATCCTGGCTCTTTCACTTACAAATGTGTAACCTTTGGAGAATTTCATAATTATGTTCTAAGTGGTATTTTCATCATTATAATATTTTAACCTTTAAAAAAGGAGCAATGATAATACCCACTCTGAATGTGGTACATAGATAACGACCACCCCCCAAGAAAGACCACATCCTAATCCCCAAAACCTATGAACACATTACCTTACATAATCAAAGAGACTCTGCAGAGGAGATTAAGTTAAGGACTTTGAGGTGAGAGATTACCCTGGATCATTCAGGTGGACCCATTGTTTTCTCAAGGACCTTTATAAGTGAAAAGGGAGGTGGACAGTTGACTGGAGAAGGAGATATGACAAAAGAAAGAGAGTTTGGAGTGAGGCTGTAAGGGAAGGATAATGCAGGGATCTGCAGGCCAAAGAATGAGGGTGACCTCTAAAAGCTGAAAGGCAAAGAAATGGGTTTTGCCCTATAGTCTGAGAAGGAATTCTGCTCTGTTGACACATTTTTAGACTTCTGACTTCCAGAAAGATAATAAGTTTGTATTCTTCTAAGCCATCACCTTTGTGATCATCTGTTACTACAGCAATGGTAAACACATACAGTGGAGATTGTTAACCAGGCATGCAAGTAGTCTGGAACAACAGCTCACGGGGTGGACACACTGAATGCTATTGTTTTTGCTGCAGCTGTGGTTATTAGCATTTCTTTTCCCCTTCCTCATCCTTTTCCTCTTTCCTCCTCCTCCTGCATCCTTCTTTCCCATTTCCTTCCTTCCATCCTTCTTTTCCCTTCTTATCTCTTTAAAAGTAACAGTAAAGGAAGAAAAGAACCAACATTCAATATGGGCTTGTGTTAGGCATGGTCCTTGGCAATATCACATGCGTAACCTAATTTAGTCTTCCAGCAATGCTGTATTTTAATATTTCCTTCTTACAGATGAAGAAACCAAGTTCTGCTGAACCCAAGTGAGTTGCTTTTAGACACACTGAGAATTTGTGGCAGTCCTGATGCTGTTGATTATCCCACGCCCCCCTCATCGTTAGCAGCCTCATCTCCATTCCAAACAAAGAGCTGTTGATCTGCATCCTGTGTGCCCTGGATGACCAGAGCTGGACGGAGCACAGAACTTCATCACCATGACAACAGCATTACCTGCCTGGGTTGTGGCGTGGTCCCCTGTCAGGCTGGAGTGTAGATGTCAGGGAGAGATGCTGTGGTGCAGGAAGGTGCTGCCATCTGTCTGAAGATACCCATCTGCTCAGGACAGCAAATAGCTCATTGCATCCCAGCCACTTCCGATAAGCACCTTTTGCTCAGTTCAGGGGAAAAGAATAATGACCACCATTTATCAAACACCTGTAGGGTGTTAGGCATGTGTGGGCTTTTTTCCCCTCTGCTTCATGTTATAATTCTGTGAGGTGGGTATTGTTCTTCCCATTTATAGGGAGGAAACTGAGGCACAGAGAGAATGGCCTTACCCACTCACCCACGAAGCAGCAAGCTGGAGTCCAGCCAGGTGTGCTCAGAGACCAAGGGCAAACCCTCCCCAGCTGGTTACACTCCTTGTTCCCCAAAGACAGTCATGGTGGGTCCCCAAAGGCCTTGAGTCTAACAAAGCACTAGGTTCATTAATCACTTCCTTTATCCTCTTGCCCCTTTCCCTACCTCCTTCTTCTTGGGTCACTGCATCGTTTGACAGTTTTTACGTAAGTACTGGCACCAGGGGCTGAAATGGGGAGGCTGGCACATGTGGATGGAATGAAGAGTCTGCAGAGCTGAGGAGGGAGGCTTGAGCGAGTTAGTGCAGAGGTCCAGTTCAGGGGGACTGCCCTCCACCTCGACCACAGACTCAGCCTGGAACTTGGGACCCTGGGCTGTCATTCTGTGGACTTCTCTGCTTGAAGGCCTAGCAATGGCTGGGTAGATGGAAGGCAGAGGGGTGGGGAGGGTAGGAGTCTAGCTTAGAACTGAATAGATCTGGACTTTAGGCTCGAATGCTACTCAGGAGCTGTGTTGCTTTGGGCAAGTTGCCTCACAACCCTGAGCCTGTTTCCTCTTTTGTAGAAAGTGCCTAGAGTTGTGAGGACCCAACAGCCAGAAGGGGCCATAGAGGATAGCTTACCCCACCAGGCATTTGGACCCAAAGGAACTGAGGCTCAGAAACAAGGAATAATTGGCCAGAGATCACCTGGCCACCAGCAAGACAGCATTCAGGTCAGTGTCTAAAATTCTTTTCTCTAAAATATGTTGCTTCTTGGGATCAAATGTGATGAGCAGTAGATGGCTGTGCCGATGCCAACGTCAGGATGTAAGGCATTGAGAGGAGCTTCCTCAGACTGCTTCTCTTCCACTGCCTCCCAGGAAAGATTTCTGCAGCTGGGTAGACCAGAACACTGGCAACCCCCAGACTCCACCCAAGATCTCATTCTCCCTCTAAATTTCCAGTTTCAAGGGTATATAATGGCATAAAGGTATTTTATGTCTGACATGAATGAAGCACACTGGGTTAATTGATAAGCTCATAAAACCAATAGAGACGGGGAGAATTTTGCCTTGACTGTTTCATGAGCTTATCTGTGGCTGAGGCAGACAAAAAAGTTTATAGTAGCCCCTGTTTCACAGAGAAACTGCAGCCTGCCAGGTCTGAAGTCCTACCCACACCTCCTTGTTTTCAGAATGAGAGGCTTCTCTTGCCCTGGGTAACTTCACTTTTCCCCCTGGGCTCGCACTTCAGCTTCCTCATTTCTTCCGAGTTGTTTCTCCGTAGTGATCCCATCTCTCTCTGGTTCCTCAATAGGCAGCCAGTCTATATAAGCCTACCTTGTGGTAGGCGTGCTCGAGTCATTGGTGTTGCAGCTGCAAATTAGTCCTTGTTCTCAAGGAGGCTGTGTTTAAGATGGGAGAGACAGACAACTCTAAACAAGCCTATTATATGTAATAGATCATCAAGTAGTGCAAAGTGCTAGGAAGAAAATTAAAACAAAGTTGCAGTTACTAGCGATGGGGGTATGGTGATAGCAGTGGCGAAGTTCCATGTGTTGGTAGCAATGATGGGGATGGTGGTGAACATGACGATGGGGAGTGGTAGTAGCATTGGGGGTGATTTTGGTGGAAGAGGGGGCAGTGGAGGTGGCACTGATCATGGTGGTCAGGGGAAGTAGGGTGGCTGTGGGGGTGTGGTTGCGGGGTGGTGATGGTGGTTGCAGTGGTATAAGTCAATTTTAGTTTTGTGTCTATGAGAAAAAGATATTTGAGTAGAGACCTGAATTGTAAGGAGCTAGCCCTGCAAAAATCTAACAGGTGACAGTCTAAGTAGGGAAAACGAGAAAACAAAAGGCCCTGAGGTTTTGTTGACTACCCCCCATTTTGGATATTCTGCGTGATGGTGGTGGCTTCTACCATCTCTGTGGCTCCTTTGGGAACTGAGCCAAAGTTACCCTCTGTGGGAATCTGACTGATAAACATTTCTTAACAAGTCATTTCCACACAAATCCTCCTCTCATGGCCTCCTTCAGTGAACCCTAACCTAAGACATTGCATAGAAATATTTCTTTCAAGGAATTTTTCTGTAAAGAAAAGAATTTGGGGTTAAGATTATTACAATCCCAAAGGCAACTCAAACTCAACATTTCCAAAACTAAAACCATTAACATTTTCCCCTCGAACTAACTTCTCTTCCAATGTTACCTTTCTCAGTGAATGCTCACATTATTTGTCCTGGCACAAAAGCAAAAACCTGGGTTAATTCTCAACTCTTTCCAGTCTGTCTCCAAGTCTTGTTCTTTCTGTCTCCCCTACATGACGCACTTGAGGCTTCTCAAGGGCTTGACCAAGAATAATTTAGGTGTCATCGGTGACAGAGGGAACCACTGAAGCATGTTCAGCCTTGTTTACCCAAAATACAGCTTAAAATAAAACCATATCCATTCCTTTGGGTTTTGTTCTTGGCAGTCCATTGCACATTGTGTACATGTGCTTAATGTCAATTTCATGCAAATTTTTAGCAAAAATGGAAAGGGGGAGGGGCTCCCCTCCAAGTCCTTGAAGATTGTTGCAAAGGGTGAGAAATTACACATTTATTGTCCTTCCTCCAGGCTCTGAGGAAACAAATATAATCAGTGAGGAAATTCAATAGAAGCTTAACAAAGAGCGAAGGCAATAGGTGAGACTTTGGAGGGAAATTAATTAAGCCAAACTCAAATGAGTGATTTTGGGCTTAAGAATCTGAGGGGGTCTGGGCAGTGGAGAACTGGCACAGAGAAAGGAAGCATGCTGGCAGGGAACTGATTCAGGGTCCAAGATTAATTATCATTCACCATCTAATTATGGAGTCTGAATTACCATCCTGCCAGTTGAGTTTCTTTTCTCTAACACAGGAGATGAGAAAAGGTTTGGTTCTGGAAGCTGGGGGTCTTTCTTCTAATTCTCACTTAAGACAGATAATAAAAAAGAGTTTGCTTTTGTCCTTTTCTGATTATTATTTGTCATTTTCATTGTTTTATAAAAAGGTGCTCTCTTCCAGATTAATTTCCCCTTTCTTGCCAATTAACTCTTTTGCATTCTTATCATCTGAACATGAAAATGCCATACATATTACTACTGGGTGTATGATTTATTCTAGGTGGAATGCTGGATACAAACTCCTTATTCAGTTTACCTATTTATACTGCCTACTATGTGCAGGGAATCTCTTAAGATACTTCACTTTTGCTAATGCATACAATCAAGGGTAAACGTAGTCTGGCTTACAGTCTTCCACTCCTCACACTAGTCCCAGAAGTTGGGAACTAATATTAGCACCATTTAATAATTTAACTGGGGTTGGAAAGTTTAAGCAAATTTTCCAAAGTCACATAACTAGTAGGCTAATGAAACCCAAGATTCAAAACCAGGCTTCTGTGTCTCATTCAACCAACCCATCATCTTCCACATTGAAGAAGTCTGAATCTGCTGTGAAGTTTAGCCACACATCTAGGTTGGTCTTATGCAAACCTTTTAATGTTTTTATCAAGAATTAAAATAAAATGAACAATGAGAAGTTTATCTTCTGGGTCTCCTGGCCTCTACTAAAAATTGTTTGCTATCTCTATGCTCGCTTTGGGTAAATTTCAAAATAATTCCAGGTATGGCACTTGAACTCACTTGTGTTATAAACCCATTTTACTTGTTCTAACTCACCTATCCTCACTTAGTCTCACCTGTGACCCTATATTTTATGGTTGAACCAAACTGGACACATACAGAAGTGTTGACAATGATGATGATGATGATGACCATAGAGATATGAGCAAGAACACACTGAAAGGCAAGAAGAAATGTTGGACCCTAGAAAGTAGATAAACATGGTGGTTCTGAATGTAGACTTTGGAACCAAATCACTTGGGTTTGAAACTTGGTTCTATAATGAGTGAATCTGGGCAATTTATTTAACTTCTGTGTTTTAGTTTCCTTATTTTTTGAAGGGGGCAGGTAACTAGATTTATTTATTTATTTTTTATTTTTTTGATGGAGGTACTGGGGATTGAACCTAGGATCTTGTGCACGCTAAGCAGGCACTCTACCACTCAGTTATACCCTCCCCGCTTTAGTTTCCTTATTTGCAGAACTAGGAGTAATAATGGTACCTTCTTCACAGTACTCTTATGTGGTTAAGTGAGATAACATAGCAGAATTGCCCAAGATAGTGCCTGGCACATAGTAATTTTTATCCAAATATTAGCTATTGTTATTATTGTTATTGTTGTTGTTGTTGTTATTATTATTATTATTATTATTATTATTATTATTATTATTATTATTATTAGACTGACCTGGGCTAGAATAACCTTTCAAATTTTATTTTCTCTTCTTTATCACAGAATATAGTTATTACTTCTCTCATTTGATTAATATTTGAAATAAATGGTAGAGTACATATATACACTAACTTAGTATTTGACACACAATAATAAGCCTGAGGTCTAAAATGCTGTTCATTGGAACATGATCTTTATTCCTGAATTCCTTCTTTCATACTCTCAGCCCTTGAGGTTTTTCAAATACTGCTGAGGGCCTTAGGTGTTCATGATCTGAATCGGCTCATTCCCCTCTGGGCTCCTTCTTTCACTGTGATTGGTTTCTGTTCCCTGGCCATTCTCCTGCCAGGGTCATCATCTATGTATGGTGACAGGTGGGTGCATAAATGCTCATTAACTCCGAGATGTCACTGAACCTACCCAGAAGTAAACACACGATCTCTGGCCTCAAGCAGCTTGTGACATGAGTGAGGATACGAATGAAGCTCAGAAAGTGCCCGGAGACGATGGGAAAGTTCCTTAGAATTTACTGCGCTACAGTGTCTGAGAGCTCCGTCAGCTGGCCTCGTGTTTGGAAGCTGTTTGTAGTGCACATGTTATGCTCCTTGTATTCTGCTGAGTCCTCAAAAGAGTCTGTTGAGACAAAACTGACATGTTTTCCCAATTCCACTGATATTAATTGAGTCTGATGTCCCAGGGGTGCTCTAAAAAAACAAAAACCAGACATGTGACTTACTATTATGAAACTTGTACTCTGATGAAGATGGGGGATAGTAAACAAGACAGTTTCTAATAATAACATGTGTAATGAAGAAAATGAAAAACATAGCAGTGAGCTAGAATAACTGGGCATGAGGGTGGGGAACCACCTTAGACTGGGTGAACAGAGAAGGCCTTTCTGAGGAGATGACATAGGATCTGAGCCCTCATTAGAAGAGTTATAAGAAAACACTTTTTACCAAAGGAAACATCAAGAGCAAAGGTCCTAAAGAAGAGCCAGCCTTAACATGTACACAAATAATTCCAAACCCAATATTCTGTCTCTTTTCTTCCCTCTTTTTAAGTTTTCATCTATGTAATTAATGTGAGGAAAGCTGGGTTTGCCCCCAGATGGAGGGAAGTCTTACCATTGTCCTCTCATTCTTCTTTGAAATCATCTAGAGTGTTTTAACATTTGGGAGTAGGATTTAGGCACTGAGGGAAGTGAAACAGAGCTGGAAAACTAATAGAGTATTCAGTTTCCCTATAATCCAGTCCAAGGTCCCTGTTAAATGCATTGGGTATGAGGAGTTAAGTTTTAGCTCCATTCCAACCCTTAGCAATGGTCCAACCCTAGGCAGGCTTGTGTGTGTGTGTTCTCATATCTCCCTCACAGCCAGCCATTGGAAGAATGGGTTCAGTTAGCAAGAAAGGGGTAGA